GCAGTTTCAAGCATTTATGAAATATACCGTTATATGGAAAGTGGTGGTAATTTTAGTCCGATTTCAATAATTTTCAACGCTTTACTTTTATGTGGCAAGCACAATAACCATGCCGAGTTTGGTTCAAATTTCTAGAACGGTTAGCGAGATACATATATGTGATCATAATTGGGCGGTGCCACGCCCATTTTCCAAAATTGTATCATAAGCGTATTTCTTGCTAAAAAAGTTGTTGCAACCATCAATTTTGAATAAATTAGCTTTAATATTTACTGATTTATCGAGGATTTCGTATTTTTCTAAATTACCGTTATATGGGATGTGGGCGTAGTTATTGTCCGATTTTAAAAATTTTCGGCCATTTGAATATTTCGAAATTTAAGGACGCTAATTTACTTAAAATTTATACACCCTTATCGGCTTATCGTGTAGCGGTAGCTTTCGGAAAGGCGGAAAACATATATTTAATAATTGCGCCGGGTATTTAATGTTCGGCTCCGCCCGGACTTAGACTTTCTTACTTGTTNTATTAGCTCGGGATGTAACTATGTAATATTGATGCGCCTAAAAGATGCAGCGATTTCTATTCTCAAGTTACATACCTGATGACAGTACGAATGGCAATTATAATAGGGAGGTTTTAGTTTTTTAAACTATAATTTTTTATTTACAACTGCCTTTATATTCATCTTTTTTCCTGTATCTTCACGTTTACTTTTATCGGTACCCTCATCATCATATTTTTCCTAATATTTATCTTTATATTTACCTTTATGTTTATTATTTTCTTCATCTACATATTACCCTTCACCTTTGCCGTTATATATGTAAGTAAAGTGTTTAAATTGACGTTGATCTTCATTTTTGCCTTTATCTTTTCTACAACATTTGGCACATTTTCCTCATTTATTTTTTTTTTACATGAAATTCTATGTTGCTTACTACATGACGCGATTTCACAGGCAACTTTTAGTTGAAAGCAACAATCGCCTGTTGTGAACGGCCTTTCAACCAATCGCTTCCAATGAATTTGGGTGGCAGCCAACTTTTAATTCAACTAATTGCCTCTAAAAATGCCTGGAGAAAGACCTAATACCCTTTTAATTCCAGAACGTTGTAGAATTGGCAGCGAACTTTTATTTCGTGTTGGCAATAGGTATAAAAACGACAATTAAAATGTAACCCTGTACCAAACTCAGTGTAGTCCCGTAACTAGTTCAGATATGCAAACACTTCGAAACATGCCTCGACACGCAAAAATCAAACAAATTTGTTTTAAGTAAAAAAGTGATGTGACTTTCCATATATCTTATATAGTAAATTACATTTATGGACCACTAGCCAGGAGATGGAATATAAAAACAAAGGTCTGAAGGCCTCGTAAATATTTTTTTTTGTGCTCTTAATAGCCTAAACTGCTTAGAATCGCTCCTTTGCAAACTACTTAAATACTTCGGGCACTGTTGATGTAGTCTTTTTTGTTGATTGTTTTTATTTCCGCTACAATTTAGACTACCGAGCACATATATGTACATAGGTTAAAGTTAGCTCTACATCGCCGCGAGCCCATTTTCTGCCTGCTTACAAAATTTCGTTCTCTATAACCTGTGGTCCCCGTTTTCCAGCACCAGTAGTGAAGACATTTAGGGGCTTTGAGTAAATGATCACAGCGCCCTCTGTTGCTATTTTTCTCCAGTAATTTCTACTAGGCTATAACTTCATAAGTTACATTCGTCCGAATTACTACTATGGTGTACATTAGGATGGTCCAAAAACGCATATGAAAGAGTCGGAATTTTTATGCTCTCACTCCCTAGAATTCTTCTATACCGAAAAAATATACCCCTATTTTTTTTATTTTGAAATCGAAAAATATTTAAAAGTCGCTCAAAGCGCTCAAAGTTTTCCATATATTTTACATGGCAGAAAACAACTTTTCGTAGAAATGGTATAGAATTTCTAAAAATCAATATATTTCGATCGTTTCTCTGCAGAAGATTCCCAATAACAATACGCAATTGTTTATTTAACCATTTTTTCATAGTAACTATAATAGTAACGATATTTATCAAAAACCTCGAAAAATGCAATGAGTGAACCAATAAAAGTGGGTAGTATTAAGAACTGGTTAAATAAACAATTGGGCATTACTATTAAAAGTTTTCTGAAGAGAACCTGAGTTTTCCGTTCGAAAAACATTGATTTTCAAGGACTCTATACCATTTCTACCAAAAGTTGGTTTTCCCCCATATAAAATACATGAAAAACTTTGAACGACCTCTAAAAAGTTTTGGATTTCAAAATAAAAAAATTGGGGTACACTTTTTCGATATAGAACATCCTAGGGGTTGAGAGCATTAAAATTCCGACTTTGTCCTCTTTGGACGACTCTAGTGAACATATGGTGAATGACGTCTGGTGCTCTTGGAGTTAAGAATAACACCTCCGTTATAACTACTAGCCCATTCTCTCTTGCCGTATTAAAGCTTTATCCAGTTACTATTCCATCAGCTCACTAATTGTTGGTAAGGATTTTCGGGGATTAATTTAATCAAGTCATCCGCGTAGGCAACTACTTTAGTTCTCCTTAGTTTAGAGTCTTCTAATACCAAGACGTGTAGTTTTGCAAATAACAACTTGTGCTTTAACCAAATTTTCAGTTTAGGTTCACTCTAGAACTAACCAATACCTCAAACCAATGCAATGCGAATTTAGTCGCACTGCGAGTAATTTGAAACCAGCCATCTTGAATATGAAAGTATTTCAAATTCGACTGCAATTTATTTTTATGTATTTATAATTCTGTTCAAACATAAATATTTGCGAGCTATTTATTGTATAAGCTTGATTTTACATAAAGCAGGAAATCATAAACGTTCGCATGCATGCATACATACATGTATACTCCCTTGTACCCACATTTATGTAGGTGTTTCGTTTCAATTTTTTACGAAACACTGTTGATAAATATAGATATTTAATTAATTATATAAATCGACAATCAAAGAAAAGAGAAATAAAACGCCGCTGTGCAAGAAAAATATAACTAGTACGCAACAATCATGGAATATAATGGGCCGTATGAATAAAAACTGAGCAATTGCTTTTTCTTAAAATTTCATACCTGTTACTTCACTTTTGTTTGAATAAATCGAGTAAAAGGTCTGAAATTTTAAGAAAAAGCAATTGATTTTTTTTATTCATACGGCCCAATATATATTTAAATGGGTAAAAATGTATCTATGTATGTAAATGTAATTGGATATCCTGCAAATTTGGCCATTGAAACTATAAATTTAATAGCACCTAGCAGTATTAATGTGAATTTAAATACCACATTTCTCTTAAAGCGAATCGGCATTACTGCTCAAAAACGCACTCTTAGCGCCACCAAAGAATATGCATTTTGCATTTCGATAGCACTTAATAGCTCACAATTTGTCGCACTTTACTATCAAAGGTAACATATGTAGATACGATTAGCCGCTTTTTGACAATTGAATTCACGCCTGTAATTCGCATCGCATTTTTGGCACATCACAAATTGAAATGCATTGATAATTACGTATACGCCCCGTCGTCCAAGCTAGTCGTTCAACAGCGTTGCAACAAACATTTAACGAAATAAAAGCTGCTGCGATATGCAAAATAAAAATACCAACCACATGAAAAGCAATATATTTTAGCGTAATGTACATACAGTGGCGGCCAAAATAAACTAAACGAAATTTTAAAACACTATAGGGAAGTACATGGAGAAAGTTGTTATATATATTTTACTGCAATAGGTCAAATCAATTAGTAAATATAGGATATCATATCTATATGGGGCATTATTTGCCAAATCAATCGGTGCCCTGTCTCATAAACTAACTGTAAATTAGATTTTGCGTACAACTTGTGTGCTTCTTGGGAACCCAACACTACATAGAAAAGAAAGAGTGAAAGTGGTTTCTTATGTTTTTGGGGTTGTTGATAATACATCAAAAATCTAAAGCCAGTTTTCAAACATTTAAAATGGAGGATTCAAAATGGTGGCCAAAAAATTTAAGTCGATTAGAATCGCTTAAGAAACGCTGATTATGAATCTAAAATCAGTTCCTAAAAATACAAAATGGTGTTTACAGATTGCATATGAGCAAATTTCACGAGTTGTTTTTTTTTTTGTGTAGCGTCGCTTCCTTCCCTCGGCAAAAAAAAAAAGCTGAAGCATTCTTCTTGCATATGTACATTTTTACCAATGGAGTCCATAAACAAGTACAACAAAAAATAAATCAAGTATTTATGCGAAAAAGAACCTAAATTAGTCATTTTTTCTTCGTACTCTCACTTTATCTATTAACTTTGGGAAGTTTTCAAATAGAATGTTCATATTAGGGGCAATGGACGTTGGCACTAAATACAGCATAACCTTGAATTTTCAAGAGTGTGCAACCAAATTTAAAAAAAAATGGTAGTATGCAGAATATCTGGTGCAGCTATTTAATAATTTTTGAAATTTTAAGACTTTTTTAATTTTAATAAATTTAGATACTTCAAAATGCCAAAATTAAACGGTGAAAATGTTCTTCTTGCCAAAGGGAGCGAGCCTAGTGTAATGCAAAAAAAATGACATCGATTAAAATATTACTATGATTACAGAAATTAAAATTCCATTTTTAAAATTATTATTGGAACACTCAAAATTCGTTCTTAAATTGTTATATACATGAAGAATATATGTATTTGCGCACGCCAATATTTAATTACTTTTAAATAATATGACTTTTAAGTTGAGGCGTGCGAGTAAATATTACATACACAACTATGGGTATATGATCATGAGTGCTTAGTTTTACCTTTTTTAGTATATATTTTTGAAATTTTCATTTAAATACATTTTCGCGTTGGAATCTTGTTCTTCATATAGAACTGAAGATAAGGCATTTTCTAAGATAACTGTGCCTCAATTTTCGACCAAAAACACGTTTTTATCGAAAAATTTAACAACTCTGGAGATTTATTCATATACTATTAATCATGCGAAATTAATTCGAACGTACGTATATGAGTAACTCATACGTCATGTACATATTACCAAATATTACGATTTTAACTTTTCCGTGATAAATAGTAGATCCATATGAGTCCGCCCGTTTGAAATCTGCCGATATTATACTAACTAAGAGTTTTGGATGTAGGAAAACAAACACAAAAATTAAACACAAAAACACAAAAATTAAAAATGCTTTGTAGGCGCAGCAAAGCACTTGATCAGTCTGGAAAGCCTTGTCTTAAGCTTAAAAATAGGTTGCGGCAGAACACAGAATATGTGACTGTCATATCACTCTGTCAATATCGATATATGGCTAAAAAGTTGACTTCCTAACAAAAATTACTAAACATCTGAGTAAGAGATTCCATTTTTCAGAAACGTTTCTAAGATGGAAATCTGTACAGAATTTGGTATTTTTGGGAAAGCGCTCAGCCTTCCAGTCTCCACAAATGTTTCTAAATGGTAGGTCTAATGTACCCTACTCCTTAAAACGCGGCTTTTCTGTAGATAATCAAGCTCTGATCAAAGTCCCTGGCTACGACTAGCGCAAGATATGGTGGATTTTTTCCTATGATCCACATTTTTTATTCGTCTTTGTAGATTCCAAACGAATTGATAACACCGAGGGACAAAAACCAAAAAACAATAATATGGATACCAATTGAAAGCGAAAATTTTGAGTAATTTAAAAAAATTATGTCTTTTGGTTCACAAGCGCGAATAGGTATTGGAAATGCCCTTTTTACATAATTTTATTTTTTGTAGGCTAATAAATTTGGAAGGGCAAAATTCGAAGATGTTGTCGCGTGCACATTAGTTCTTAACATAAAATGGATTCAAAAATAGACTTTGCAAATCTTCAAAAATATTCAAAGTACAATTTTAAGAGTACTTTTTCAGTACCTTTTTGTCCTTATGCGTCCGCAGAGTCAGAATGTCTGATCTGCCTTGAAGTGTTTAAAAAACTAGTTCCTTTGACGGCATTTATAAACGCAATTTTAATAATGAGCAGGGTTAAGGACTTTTTAGCAGTACAAAAATCTAAAACAAGTGAGTTTTAAAGGATATATTCCCGATTTTGAAACTTTCTTGTCCAATCGCTAGATATGACTTTTTTCCACTATCCTGGCAATGCATAGATTCCGCGCCAATAACACTGCTGGCCTGGTCGTTGGAGATCAAGAAATTTTCAGCCAATTTTTGATATCTTCAACTGCATAGACTGGAAAAAATGGTAGTCTTTTAGTAAAAAGTCAGGTTACGATTTCTCATTCGTTACCATTGAGATAAGTTTTGATCGCCTGTGCGACATGAAGCCGAGCATTGTTATCGTTGGAGTTTGATGATTCATGTCTGTTTGCCCATTCGGGCCGTTTTTCTGCAATCGCTCGCTTCATTCGCCTCAGTTGTTGTCCGGCGATCAGGAGCTCATAATAAAAGATTATCCTCTGGTCCCACCACTTGCAGAGCTTAGATTGCCATACCAATGAATTTTAATTGCAACAAAATATCTTGCTGGTTTCGTCTAATATTTCCGAAAGTACTTCTTGGCTTTGGCGCGGGTCTCCATCCAAAATTGTCGCCCATTCGTCGTCTTCAAACGTTGATGGCCTTCCTTAGCGCTCCTTGTCGGTTGTGTCAGAAGCACCACTTCTGAAGCGTCTGAACCAGTGCTCACAGATTGAGATTTTTAGAGCATGCTCTCCGTAAGCCACACACATCAGAAGATGACATTCTGCTGCACTTTTCTTCGGTTGGAAGGCAAATGCCAATGCTTAATCAAATGGAATTTTGTTGGCACAAAATCTTATATAGTCTTCGCATGAAAAAATAACTTATTTACATACCTAATAACTAAATGCTTAACATCAGTAAATATAATTTACTATATTATAATGAGAAACGTGTAGGATTTTATTTTTATTAAACTGGCTACGTTTGTGTTAAGCTTTCGTTTTGGCCGATACTGTGCACGTTTATGTATTTATGTACAAATATTTATGTATTTGCAAACTTGCGAAATAAAAGTGCGTATACGCGTCAGAGCCAACGCCCAAAGACAACAATAAAATTGCAATAAAGCAATAAAGAAGAAGAACAGCTGCACTCAACACACCGATGACATAACTACATATGTATTTACGCGTGAAAACAGGCAAACATACATACATGCATATTTGTAATGGAAAGTAGCGAATGTATGGGTATTTGTTGCTCTGTGTACTCATATGTACAATTTTCAACAGGAATGCATTGTAAAACAGCGTGCGAAAATGAAAATAAATGCAAGCGCGTAAAACATATAACACTGGTCAGTCCGAGGCATAGGTGTAAATGTATGCGTAGCTGCTGCGCTCTTTAATGCCTTGCAGGGTATGCTCTAAACTATAATGCTACCAGATTGCGTATCAGCCCCCCAATTGGTTCGCGATCTATCCTTTTTCAGTGTTAGCGACTAGTATTTTTTACATGGCGATCTCCTACGAGATGTCAATTATCTAGCCATGCATCAGAATCGGAATCTACTAGTTGAAAAACCAGTCAGTAACATCATACCAGTTGATGGGATAGTCTGCCAATTCATCCCAAGGAATAAGTGCGCTCCGAAAACAGCAATGGCGGACAGAGCAAAGCAGTAGGGTGAGGAGTAGGTATTTATTCCAATCGTTTTTCTTAAGAGAGGAATTGACATTCGGAGTGTACAAATATAGTAGTTTTTTTTTATATCTGCATCTAATTTATAAATTAATGATAAACTAACAAATTTTGTCTAATTCCAAGCCAAGAACCCTGCCTGCGTCAAAACAAATGAATTGATCATAAGAATAAGTATACCTGATTTTAGAGGAAGAAATTCCCTACATAATTTCCGTGGGACGTACTGCGGCGCGACTTATCAATTTCGCGTACTCCGATTGGTAAATTCAATGATTTAGAAAAATGAGTTAGAAATAACGCTATGTACATATGAGTAACCAAACATTTGATCAAAGTTAAAAGAGACGCAACAACGCAAAAAGGATTAGCAGCAGCGTAGTAATTCCCACTGCAATCATGTAGAGAATTTATTTTTACCATTTTGATTAATGCAATGCAGAGTTCTTGGCGTTGAATTGAACAAAGTGTTTTAGTATTTCATCAAATTAGAAATCCGAACAAAATAGAACCCATTGTTATCCAATTATCGGGCTAGGCTTAAAAGTTGTCGAATGTGTTTTTTAGAAAAAGCTTTCAAGAAAATTGATCAGTACATCAGTACGTACAAGAATCTTAAACTTTTATAAAAGCTTTAANAACATCATTCCAGTTGATGGGATAGTCTGCCAATTCATAAGTGCACTCCGAAAACAGCAATGGCGGAGAGAGCAAAGCAGTAGGATGAAATCCGAGGTTCAAGTCTTCGAACAGGGAAATATTTTTATTTTGATGTATTTTTGTTTAGGTTTTTTATTGTAATCTTTTAATTTAATTTTATAAAAAGAATTTTTTTTAATTTCATTAGAAATTCTTAGCGACGGCTTCATAACCTTTTTGTCAATTATTTACTATGGATTGGCGACAAATAACTACCCCGCGGAGGAGTAGGTATTTATTCCAATCGTTTTTCTGAAGAGAGGTATTGACATTCGGAGTGTACAAATATAATAGTTTTTTTTTATTTATATCTGCATCTAATTTATAAATTAATGAAAAACTAACAAATTTTGTCTAATTCCAAGCCAAGAACCCTGCCTGCGTCAAAACAAATGGATTGATCATAAGAATAAGTATACCTGATTTTAGAGGAAGAAATTCCCTACATAATTTCCGTGGGACGTACTGCGGCGCGCCTTATCAATTTCGCGTACTCCGATCCGTAGATCGCTGCAGCTGCAGCGCAAAGCGAAAAGGTGGCCAACTGCCATGTTTTTGCGCTCGTTGACAATCAGCCGGTTTAATATTTATTTTGTTTCGTCGAAATTCGAGTTTTCATGCAGGAATTTACAATTTAATTACATTTAGTGATATTTTTAAAACTAATATACAAAATCCACAGCAATTTTCACGAGTAAAAAAGCAGTACAAAATTGTTTTCTTGACGTTCATTGTGGCATAACCTTTGCGTCTGGCGCTTTGCTGGCAAAGTTACAAATGTCACGCAAAGCCACAAAGTTTTATCTGGCATCGGCTTTATACAAAAGAAAAAAAAAAATTTAACAAGTAAGTTTTAAGCAAAAAAAAAACAAAACCAGCTTCAATTCTTATGTAAAAAAGATTGTCGTTAACCTCTTCATGATCCAATGATCGGACTTAAACCAAATTAGAATGGGACCACCTGTGAGGTAACACCTTAAAAGAATTTTAGAAATCGGTTGGCGTGGTCCAAAGTTATGCGGTAACATAGTTAAAAAAATAAATAAAATATTCCGACGAATTAATAACCGTCCTCCTTTTTGCGGTAACATACCAAGTCCAAAGTTATGCGGTAACATACATAAAAAAAAATAAAAAATATTGCGACGAATTGATAACCGTCTCCCTTTTTGAAGGTGCCTGCGATCTCAGAACCAGAACCAGTAGTCTCCACGCGGCGCCACAGCCGATAGCTGATCGCATAAGTTGTTCGAAATTGTCGAACTGGTAGGCCATCTCTTTAGCTCATACTGGTTAGTGAGCTAGTATTTTTGGCTTTTCACTGCAGGGTACATATGAACATACATAAATGTATTTACCTTGTATGCAGCTTTTTTTTCTATGCACATATTTATAACTGTGCAAATATTTAAATGCGTTTAATGTTCGCGAATACATACATATAGGCGTATGCTCATACATATTGGGTTATAATGACGTAAGTTCGCTTTTATAATTACCACCACACCCACACATACATTTACGCACCGACAATTTTGCATTTCGATATCCAAGGTGGTCAAATGGAAGGCCGCTGCGAAGGCGGTAAGGATGAGTAAGAGCATTGTGCCGCAATATAAAACCGACAACAACAACATAGTGTATGTATAGCTGGATACGCGACAAGGCTGGCGTTAATGCTTGCCCGAGTGCATACAAACACACACACATTCGCGCACGCACCCAATTTGCCAAACGACGTCGTTTTGGTGAACAATTTGTTCGCCGGCGACGGTCGCAAACGACTCGCCGGCGAACTCGCCATTCTATGAAAAGCACAGTTCGCCGGCAGGCCGAAAAAACGATATACGAGTGAACTGCAAATGCTCAAAATTTATACCAAATTTAAAAAAAATTGCATACCCACAAATTTTATTTTTTTTTTAATAAAGCCAATAGAGTAAAGGTATCCACACACCTATGCGGTTCCGCCGGTGCGAAACTGTCCCGACAAAAATTACAGCAATGCCGACAATAGCTTTAGATGAGAAACCACACATTTATGCGATTTTGCTGCAGAGATTTATTCGAACATTCACAGTTTTACTTTTCGTCGTGCCGAAATCGCAGAATACCGAGTTTTGAGAACTAAAAGGGTCAGTAAACGATCTTGTAGATTTAACTCAAAAACTAACGTAAGAAAATTAAATTCTAAGAATAAAATTGTTTGACGAAAAATATTTTTCACTCCGTAGCATCAAAAACGGAGCGGATCCGCTCCAACGGAATCGCACAGGTCTGTGGATGTCTTAAACTGTACCTTTATAAAAAATAAAAAAAAAAAAAATTAAGATAATATATAATATAATAACGACGTCGAATTTTGTATGGAAAAAAACGACTTCATTTCGACGTCGTTTCGAGTTCACCCAAACGACTTTACCAGAGCGACGTTGTCTTCGTCCTGTGGCAAATTGGGCAGGCGCCTCGCTAACCGACGTGTCGTTTACAGCATACGATAATTACGTCTGGTAGCCCAAATGCACCAACACCGCAACATCAAATACGCACACACCCACACACACACACATGCCCGTCGAAAGTGTGCTTATCAATGTAGCAGACATGATGCGTTAACCGCCACCGCATGGCGTATGAGTAATATGCTATTCGGTTGCACATTTTGCTTCGACATTTTTGCGGGTGGATGACGATATTTTTGCCTTATTTTTTGGAAAATGTGATTGGCGTCTGCGTAACTGGCTTCCAATTTAAAAGTGTGTCAGAAACGATCTATGTATGTATTTCAACACTAAATATGCCAAACAAATTTATGTAAATTTGAATTTTGCAAACTTGTTTAAAATGAAATTGTATTCCTACTTGTCACCGTACACTGGAAGTCATCCTAAGGTATTACAAGTACTTATATTGCAATCTCTCTGCCTCTGCTCGGCTAGTTGGTGTCGTCGAAAATACCCAGGCTGACATCACTGTTATCCGAGACGTGATGAACGAAGCAAGGCCAACAATGCGTTGGTTCGTGCCACGTCTACTGCAGCTGCCATATAAAGGATCACAAATTCGGCGTTAATTCGTCCGATAACAAACTGACGCTGATCATCTACGCCGGGACCAGAATTATGCTAGTATGCAGTACTAGGTTCCATCATAAGAACATCGATCAAGCTACCTAGCTGTATCCAGATCGAAAAACGAAAAACCAAATACATATTGTTGTGTTAGGCGGAAGGCATGCTTCCAGTATTTTAGACGAACGTAAACACAAAATGTGCCTTCAGCAATAAAAGGAAAACTGAACGTTGAAAAGCTGCAATCGCAAAAGACGGCCAGCGTACAAACCGATATATGCCAGCAGTGGAGCGGATATGATGAAACATTTCGCGAAGCTGTAGAAAAGAGAGGTGCCACCAACAGGGCCACGCTGCGATCGGGAGCAATGTGAGCTATGTGAGACCGATATAGGGAGCTGAGGAGGAACCACACAGTAAGTGTTCAACTGTCTCTTTTAGGGCTGGGTCGTCGCAGCTGCGACAGAACCTAGTGAAGTGAACCCTTTAGGCATGTACCCCCATCGGTCAGTGCGCTGTGCATACTGAAAAAAGGTTATAGGTGTCCGATTTGCTAATTTCTAAACGTGCTTTGGTTTTGGGTAGGTCATAGGATACCCCGGGTAATCCTATACTGTGTATCCTGTATACTTTTATCTCCCTCTAGCCTTCGAGCGATAAATGTCGATAATTTTTCCTTTGATCTCCCTGAGCTGGGAGCCCATATGGGCCGCGTTGGGCACATTCATTCCGGAGCATCACCTTGCCAGGTCGGACGCTGCCTCGTTTCCGTAAATATCCTATGTCCTGGGACCCATGTTAAAATAATTTCGTATTTATCAGAAATCTTGGCTAGCTCTCTCCTACAGTCATCCACTAGTTAGTTGAAATCTAGCAGAGGCAAAGGCATGAATATCTACTTAGCTATCCGAGAAGTAATTCACCTGGGTCCCCGCAGGTCCAATATGATTGATGTAACTCACTGCCTCCTTAATTGCAAATATTTCGGCCTGGAAAAGGCGAAAGGATAACTTTAGGTTATATTGCTCAATAAAAACCCCTGCACCAACTCCACATTCCATCTTTGATTCGCGCGTAAAAATATTTAAGCCCTGCAAGAACTGGGCCTTGCCTTGAGTCCATTCACTGCGGCTTGGGAGTTTCTTGCAGGGCTTNCGAAAGGATAACTTTAGGTTATATTGCTCAATAAAAACCCCTGCACCAACTCCACGTTCCATCTTTGATTCGCGCGTAAAAATATTTAAGCCCTGCAAGAACTGGGCCTTGCCTTGAGTCCATTCACTGCGGCTTGGGAGTTTCGTGCAGGGCTTTTGATGAACCCAGGTCTTCGATATGTCAGTGGGAGGCGCCTTAACTTCAGGTGGTAATGCGTCTAGGATGGAACAGTGTCCGAACGGTCTTTGCTTCTAGAGCTTCAAGACACGCCGTCCGATGACGCTGTTAGCATGTGGGTCTTCGATAGAGTTATATAAATGTTCCTGAATAACTATCGCTAATCAATTAAAAATAACGTTCAAAACATCTCTCCAACAGAATCTCAGTGCAGCTATTACTCCAGCGGCCGCTGACCTTTGAATTCCGCTTAGCTATTTAACTACTTAATCCTTCCCTGCATTGAAACCACGGACTAGTGAATCAAATTTCTAGTTTCGAACTAGGACTTTATCGCCAAAAAGAACTAGTCCGATAGGAGCTAGATCCCCACCAGTCCAAAATCGACGAAAAGTAGTACATTTAAAAAACTAATTTTTTTAAATTTTTTTTTTTTNTTGCAGGGCTTGTGATGAACCCAGGTCTTCGATATGTTAGTGCAAAGCCCCTTAACTTCAGGTGGTAATGCTTCTAGGATGGAACAGTGCCCGAACGGTCTTTGCTTCCAGAGCTTCAAGACACGCAGTCCGATGACGCTGTTAGCATGTGGGTCTTCGATAAAGTTATATAAATGTTCCTGAATAACTCCAACAGAATCTCAGTGCAGCTATTACTCCAGCGGCCGCTGATCTTTGAATTCCGCTTAGCTATTTAACTACTTAATCCTTCCCTGCATTGAAACCACGGACTAGTGAATCAAATTTCTAGTTTCGAACTAGGACTTTCTCACCAAAAAAGAACTAGTCCGATAGGAGCTAGATCCCCACCAGTCCAAAATCGGCGAAAAGTAGTACTTTTAAAAAACAAATTTTTTTAAATTTTTTTTTTTTACTAGAAATCTATATCTTAAGTGACGAATTAAGAACTAGTTCGGAACTATAGAAAAAGAGATGCAGAACGATCTAGATCTTATTTGTCGAATTTAGAACTAGTTCGGA